AATGAATGAATGAATATATATATGATCTTATGATTTTTCTATGAGGGAAAGTTTAAAATTTTGTTGTGTTAGTGTCATATAATTTAAATAAGGTGTATTTTGGCAGCAAGAATTCTTTAAAAACATGTTTGGTTGAATATCGACAAGTTCTGTCTATTCAACTATTGAGTTTATTTTATATAGTGAAGTGATAAAATTATCACTGTTTAACCTCTATTAAAACATCCAGGAAATCATAGCACTTAGTTACTTTCAAATGTTTCTTTAAGGGTGTTTAATATATATTTGACATACAATTTTATTTTCAAGTATTTTTTCACTGCTCTTTGAACTGCCATAGCTGAAACTCTTCTCTCACATGCTAATCATCTTATGAATTGAGTTGGATCTTTTCTAATTGATCTCTTTAGCTCTAAGTTGAAAAAATGACGATACCGCTTGCTGTTGTGACCTCCTGATTCAGTTTCCCTCTCTACTGTTCCCTCTTTTTTAAAACTTATTCACCATTCTCTTGATTGTTCTTGAATGAAATTTGAAGATGAAAACCACAGTATGAACGTTGGTACCATTACTGAAGGCTTGAATGATTTTTTCCTCTCACCATTGCTCAGTTGGGAAGACAGTGGAGCTGACACAAAATAATTTTAACCTGTTCTCTTTCTAACAGAATAACTAAAAGGGTTTTTCAGTGATTCTTACAACAAATTGTGTCAAGATGGCTAAATGTCTTATCAGAAAACAGATACTCAATTAGTTTAGTGGTTTTTTGGGGGTTTTTTTTTTTTTTTTAGGTATTAAACATTTTGTGGGATGGACAATTATGCTGTCACACCTGGTATATAATTAACATCATCACTTGATAAGACAACAGAAGTATTGAAACAAAATGGCTATTTTTGTAGTGATTTTATAACATATTTATGTTATAATTTTTGAATAAATAATTATATTTGCTCTACTCTGTATTGAGCACTCTTTTAAGAATAGTATTTATTGGTTATTGGAATTTATTCCATATACACCAATCCTATACTTGTGTGTGTGTGTATATATATATATATATATATATATATATATATGAGAGAGAGAATTGATCCTCTTGGATACAACGAAATATTAAATTGTATTTAACAAATACTATAAAAATAAAAAAAAACAGATATATTTGGCTGCCTCACCTTTTTAAGAAATTGTAGATTCAATAAAATTTTCTGTATAAAAAAATATTTAAGAAATTAACATAATTTCATGATATAATATATAAAAAAAGTAAAATAAAAAAAATCTTTTTTCCTTTGATATTTGGAGACTTAAAAAAAATTGCAAAATGGTTCATGTTTTGTTGGCTGTCAGAAAACTGATTAATATTTGTTCGTTGTAAACAGTCTTCGCAGCCCGGCGGGTAATAGGTTTTCTATTTGTTCTAAATACAGAACGATGTGTTCATACATCTTTTAAAATCTATTTTCCCTTGGGTTTTTAATCTTTTCTCTTCTTTTCCTTGACGAATTACAGTTAAAAGGGAGGAAACTTCAAGTTCAAGGGAGGGAACTGCAGTTAGGATTTTTTTTTCTGCTTCTTCTTTAATTATTTATTTGTTTTTGTAACTCGACCGTTTTCACCTGTTTGACATTTCAGAAGAAAGAAAATATTTTTCTTGTTCCATTTTTCTTTACAACTAAAGCCTTGCTTTATTACGCACTGATTTATTCAAACCGATATTTTCATCTTGGTTGTTGTTATTATAGGCATAACCTTTTTTCAGCTCCCTATTTTGCGAAATATAAGACGCACCCTTAGCAAATTGATGTTTCTGTTTAGAAAAATGTGCACTAATTTTTTAAGTATCAGAGTGAATTTCTGTTCAATAAAACACTTTCAAATATGACTTTGTAAGGGTGCGTCTTATACTTTGATCAAGAGAAACCTTTGGAAAAAAAAACAAAGCTACAGTCGTATTTGAAAGTTTTTACTTTTAGTGAATAAAAATTCACTCTGATACTTTAAAAATTAGTACGTAATTCCTTAAGTATAATACGCCTTCATCCATAATACGCACCCCTAAAATTGTGCTACTCATGCATAATATTCACCCCTTGTTTGGTAATCAAACCCTATAAATTGTACCGCTCCAATTTCATTATGGCCAGAGTTTCCTACTCTTATTTAAAATAAATGGTTTTAAACATATTAATCTAATTTAGTTTTATGCTAATTCTTATTTTATTTTACATTTGTAAGTAGGTATAACCATGAGATCGCTAAAAAAAAAAAAAAAAAAAAAAAAAAACGCATAGTCTGATGAAAAAGACGCCAAACTTGACGAAAACAAAATTTTATCGCCAAAATGTTTATGTTACTATTAAGAGGAAAGAACAAAGTAATTTTAAAAAAAATTTTTGTCTTTATTAGAACATTCCTAACTTTCGATTGAAAAACCTTGTTTCTCGTCATCACCGGAACGCTAGTAAATAACATGGCGAATTTTTGGGGCATTTTTTTCTTATGACACACATTAATTTTGAAAATCTTGCAAAAATAGAACTAATTGTCAGATTTTAATGAAACTTTCAGAAACCATCATGGAAATTATTATAAATATGTTATTTTTTTTTTAAGTCATTATAAAAATATATTATATATATATATATATATATATATATATATATATATATATATAACCCCCATCCAGTCATTATATTATTGTTAGGTACATCTGATTGTATTTGACATCCTTATGGGGTCGCAATCGCTGAATGTTAGTGTTAAATTCGCAACTGAAATCGACCGATGAAACGGCAATTTTTTAAAGGATCTTTTTGTAGCTGCGCATAATATGCACCCCTAATTTTGCTTATTTTTTTTAGAAAAAAAAAAATGGGTATTATACATAGGGAATTACGGGATATATTTTTTCTAAACAGAAAATAACTGAAAACAACAAACTATTTTATAGGCAAATGTAATCTGAACTTGATACAACGAAAACACTGTCTCGCTGGCAGCTTCCGAAAGAGAAGTGAAAGAACAATTAGACGAGGAAAGCAAGGACGAACTATCGACTGTAAAAAGTCAGAATGCATGGCGGCAACTCAATGTCGCACTCCCATATCAGAGACATCAAAATCAAGTAAATTTAGCTATCTGGCTAGTATCCTACTATAATTGTGCTTCTCCCCAAACTTTTTTAGTCCGCCCGACCGCTACGCCTTGCCAATATCTCATAATGTTATGATCGCGTGGAAAAAGAGGAAAAGAAGACTTGGTTTCAGTGAGAAAAAAGAAAGGAAGATAGAAGTGTTCAACGTCTGTTTCAGTGAAATGGGAAAGTTGTCAATTTTCAACTCTTTTCATTTGTACCCCCTTATTTCTTAAAATAACGACCAGCATTCATATTTATGATTGTTATTGCAATATTTTGTTAAAGTTGTTAAGCTCAAATATGTAACAAGGTAATAGGGAAATTTCTCCAGATATTTTATTGTCATAGAACTCGCCACGAGCTTATTCAATCATTAGTTGAAGAATTAAGATTCATCAGAAATTTAAAATAGAAAAAACCAGAAATTTTCACGGGTTAAAACTTTGATCCTAGGAAGAGATCCGAACCCCCCCAACCCAAAAAAAAAGCGCGTAATTCGAGGCAGAGAACTGGGGAAAAACAAATTGCTCCCAGTAAGAGATATGAGAGAAAATAATTTAATGCTAGGAAGAGATACGGGAGAAAACACTTTGATCCGGAGAAAAGCACTTTGATCTTAGGAAGAGATCTGAAAAAAAAAACAAACAAACAAACACGTAATTCGAGGCTGAGAGCTGGGGAAAAACACATTGATCCTAGTGTTGCGGACCCGGTAGCATGCAGTGCTGGTTTATTAAAAGGTGGCCTTGTGCCAGACACTACTTATGACTACCGAATCCACAAACAAAGTAAAAATATTGAGTGAGTGATCTTAGTGAGGAAAAGGGTTATTCAACAAGTGCATAAAAATAATACAAGTAGATAGCCAGGATTAAACGACAAAATGAGTTTGGTAAAAGAACAAATATAGACTTTTATTATTTTTAAACAAATTGTCTCGACAGCGGAGACCATCAGTAAAGTACCTGGATCTTTGCAATTAATGAAAAGGGTGTGACAAGAGGTCACTGAAGGAATGACAGTGTTCCGAGCCAAAACAGAAAACTAAGATGGCTAAGGCGGGAAAAGTTCTTCAGGAAGAAAGTTCCAGAACAGTCAATTTATACGGAATATTATACATACACAACAAAGAAAATACTCACTGCGAGATTTGTAAGTGTGAGTGTAATGTTATATTTTTAAGGTACTGGTTCATAATGTTTAGAGTTCAACGGATATGAGAAGTTCTCATCCTTAACTGTTGGTTTCAAAGTTCCCTGGTCATGGACGAAGGCAAGGCTCGAACAAGATGTTCGCCACTCGACGAGAAATTAGTCATCGAAAAAGGTGTTGTGATGACAGTGTTGTAAGTGCTATGTTTTTCTGATAGAAAACAGAAGAAAGTTCGAACGAGATGTTAGCCTTAGGTTGAGGAAATAGTCGTCGAAAAAGGTGATGTGACGAACGTGCAGTAAGCTCGAAGTTTTCCTGATAGAAAACAGAAAAGTGCAAACAAGATGTCGGCTTCAGGACGAAGAATTATTTATCGTTAGTTGCATTGGCTTGATGGGATTACGCACGACGAGCCAAAAGAGACTAAGCATAATTTGCTGTTAAGATATCCCTGTCTGTATTATGGGTTAACTGACGAGGAATAAATGAGCCGACTTGTTGATTCAGTGTCCTGACCGCGACTAACTTCGAAAAACCAGTTTGTCCGTGACGTCAAAGAAATTGCGCGGGAAGATTTCAAATTCCAGTTCAAATGACATCAGGAGCAGCCGGTAAGCTTGACGGAAACAAAAGGGTGGCTTACTGCTATGTCTAGTCGCAAGAGGAAGGAAGGGGTGCAAAAAGCGCGCGCGCAAAAGGATGGAATCTATGCACGATTCCACACTAGTAAGAGATATGAGAGAAAATAATTTAATGCTAGGAAGAGATACGGGAGAAAACACTTTAATCGTAGGAAGCGATACGGGAAAAGACAGCTAGAGGCCCGGGGAAAACAATTTGATCCTAGGAAGAGATCCGGAGAAAGACACTGATTCGAGATCCGGGGAGAAGAAATAGATCCGGGGAAAGACACGTTCATCTTAGACAGAGGCTCGGGGAAAACGATTTGAACCTAGGAGAGATCCTGGGAAAGACACTTTGATTCTGGACAGAGGCCTGGGGAAAACAATTTGATCCTAGGGACAGAGTTCCTGGGTAAACAATTTAATCCTAGGATGATATCTGGGGAAAGACACTTTGATTCTGGACAGAGGCCTGGGGAAAACAATTTGATCCTAGGAAGAGAACAAGTGAAAGACACTGATTCTAGACAGAGTTCCTGGGTAAAAACAATTTAATCCTAGGATGATATCTGGGGAAAGACACTTTTGATTCTGGACAGAGGCCTGGGGAAAACAATTTGATCCTAGGAAGAGAACAAGTGAAAGACACTGATTCTAGACAGAGTTCCTGGGTAAACAATTTAATCCTAGGATGATATCTGGGGAAAGACACTTTGATTCTGGACAGAGGCCTGGGGAAAACAATTTGATCCTAGGAAGAGAACAAGTGAAAGACACTGATTCTAGACAGAGTTCCTGGGTAAACAATTTAATCCTAGGATGATATCTGGGGAAAGACACTTTGATTCTGGACAGAGGCCTGGGGAAAACAATTTGATCCTAGGAAGAGAACAAGTGAAAGACACTGATTCTAGACAGAGTTCCTGGGTAAACAATTTAATCCTAGGATGATATCTGGGGAAAGACACTTTGATTCTGGACAGAGGCCTGGGGAAACAATTTGATCCTAGGAAGAGAACAACTGATTCTAGACATTTGTTCCTGGGTAAAACAATTTAATCCTAGGATGATATCTGGGGAAAGACACTGGACAGAGGCCTGGGGAAAACAATTTGATTCTAGACAGAGTTCCTGGGTAAAACAATTTAATCCTAGGATGATATCTGGGGAAAGACACTTTGATTCTGGACAGAGGCCTGGGGAAAACCTAACAATTTAATCCTAGGAAGAATTTAATCCTAGGATGAAAGACACTTTGATTCTGGACAGAGGCCTTTTGATCCTAGGACACTGATTCTAGACAGAGTTCCTGGGTAAAACAATTTAATCCTAGGATGATATCTGGGGAAAGACACTTTGATTCTGGACAGAGGCCTGGGGAAAACAATTTGATCCTAGGAAGAGAACAAGTGAAAGTGATTCTGGGTTCCTGGGTAAAGAATTTAATCCTAGGATGATATCTGGGGAAAGACACTTTGATTCTGGACAGAGGCCTGGGGAAAACAATTTGATCCTAGGAAGAGAACAAGTGAAAGACACTGATTCTAGACAGAGTTCCTGGGTAAACAATTTAATCCTAGGATGATATCTGGGGAAAGACACTTTGATTCTGGACAAAGTCCCAGAGGAAAGAATTTGATCCTAGGAAGAGATATGGGGAAAGACATTTTGATTCTTGACAGAGGCCCGGGGAAAACAATTTGATCCGGGAAAAGAAAAAAAAAAACTTTAGTCACAGGACGTGATCCGAAGAAAAACATACAGAGATCCGGGGGGGGGGGGAAACGCTTTAATCCTAAGAAAATAGCAGAGGATAAACACTTTTATTCTAGGAAGAGACCCTGGCAAAACACTTTAATCCTGAAGTATAATGAACCAGCATACACTAAAAATAACCTTTAAAAGGATAAAAATTTTATCAGGTTAATACAAATTCATTACTTTCTTAAGAAATATTTATTTACATTTGGATACGAAAAGAAAAAATATATCGGGCGATCTATGACGCGAGAATTCCGTCTGGGAGATTGCATCTCCAACAATAACAATCGAAAACAATATTAAATACTTATATTGGGCACATATGCATCACACTTTCTCGCAGATTAACCTGTCCCCTGTCGACCAGCAAATCATGAACGACTAAATTACAACTATCAACATAAGACAAATATTAGTAGACAACACCAAAATACTCTACAGCACCTAATACAAAGAAAAACTCGTTTTCACTCTCGCGTGATCATGTATGACGTCACGAGCTGTGGTGCGATTTTCGCTTCCGCGTCTCGTATACACGAGTTCGTCGTTGCTTGGAAATCTTTCATGCAACAAAAACAGACTATCATTATTGTTTTGTCCGTGTATTTTTTAATATATAGTAATGTAATTGTCATCTTTGATAATGGCTTATGTAAACCGAAAGCTTAGATAGGATTAAAAAATATGGATCAATATTGTGATTTTCTTTCTTCGTTCAATGATAATGTTATTAAGCTTATCAGACAATATGAAAGGAACTTAAAATAAATAGACAAAACTTGTCTATATTATTTAATGAAACATGCATAAATATATATATATATATATATATATATATATATATATATATATATATATATATATGCTCCTGAAAAATGATTTCAGTTGAGCTCTCTGGGGAAGAAATGTGAGTTTGTAAACAGTGATTATTATTGCTACTAATGCCATACACTTCAATAAACAAATCGATTTTTCTCAGTCACTGGCTTGTTATATATATATATATATAGTTTATTTTTATAGATACAAATATTTAAGTAAATGCACTGTTTATAATAAACAGTATTAATAACGTTTACCGGCCTGAATATCTGAGAAATCTCAAAGAAAATATGTGTGCTTCGACAAGAATCGAACCTGCATCCTACACGGAACTGTCATATAGCCTGACGTGCTATACCATTTAGCCACAGAGGAAGCACCCGGTTAGCAAGGTTCAATTACTGTTTTTGAAATATGGAGGTTTCGTGTAGGATACAGATTCGACTTCTGCCGGAGGACACATTTTCTATAAGGTTTCTCGAAAATTCAGATCGGAAAATGTTAAAATAATTGTCGGAATTAGTCCATTATATATATATATATATATATATATATATATATATATATATATATATGAAATCCTTCCAAAAAACGTATGCACACATCAGGAAAGGAAAAAATGTATAGGAATTGTAATACTAAATTTATTCAGACATCACAAGATTAATATATGTTACCTTTGGACTCTACAATCACAAGAAATGCTGAAAATGGTGGCCTTTAGCTTCCAGTCATTTATTAGTATGACGAACTACTGCTTGGGAAAAGTTGGCCAAATTGTCCAGTGGGTTTGCTACACATGCATTTTCAATTTCTTGTCTAAGTGCCACCAATGTAATGCAATCTCCCGAGAAAATATAGTGGTAAAAATAAAAAAAAAAACAGTGTTATTGCAATTTGATAAAATTACGAAAGACAAGGTTTTTCTTTCCTGAAGTTTGTATGAATTTTGGGGGGATATATATATATATATATAAGTGATGACTAAGATATTACTTGTACATTTTTGTAGATTTTTTTTATTTAGTTGACATGTAGCTGAAGATTAAAGTTTTTGGAAGTTACAAAATTTTCGGCCATTCCTTAGTTTCTTGTTATTGAATAGTTTTTTTTTAACTGGGCTAAATTTCAAACCCAGTGGGAGGTACCGACTTCAGGGCGAGGATCTCCTTTGGTCGCGGCACCTGATAAAGATTCTGATGTCACCTGCGTCGTCTTGTTTTTTTTTGTCCCTTTTCGTCAGATGATGTCAACTACAAGTAGTGATATAATCAATTGTGTGATAAAGATATCGACTTGATTTCTTAGATTCATCTTCACGTATTTATAAAGATTTAAATATGAAACTAGCTTTTAATTTGAAGTAACGAATCCACATAATTAATTTATACTAGTAAGGAATGTCACCGATACGGGCCGCAGGACGGGAAACAAATTTTGCCACTATCATCTCACACTTTGAAGTGAAACTCTGCTTGTAAATGCAAGAAGCTGGATTTTCCTGACGGAGAGAGACAAAAGTGAGTTTAAAGAAAACAATTGCCAGGATTCACTTGGGAAAAACGAAATGTTTTTCTTTCTTGAGGAAATGTTTACTTTCTTTCAAAATGGCCGACATCAAGGACATTTTTCATAGAAAACATTCTTAAAGCAAGCTTAATCTAAACAGTGTCATTGATGATGAGTTCGGGCAAAAAAAAAAAAAAAAAAATTGATTAAATCTAGTGACACTAATTGAGCCAGGCTCTCATGATTCTCTTTATTACAAGGAATAGAATTGAGTTCAAGATTACAAAACCTGGACAAGAGAAGAAAAAGAGTTGTAGACCCCAAAAGTGTACAACATGTAATATAGAGATTGTATTTATTGAATGTGGGTACATGTTTCGGGCGGAATTCTATTCTCTTCATCAGCCAATGATTTATATTGATTTAATTTTTTAGGTACAAATGCAAAAATACAATCCAAACATGTCGCGGGCAAGAATTCAAATTTCTTAGAAAGATAATACAGGAAAGAAAAGGAAAAGAGAAAAGGAAAAAAAAAACCGAAAGAAAACGAAAAAAGAAAGTAAAAGACAAAAAGAAAGAAAAGGGAAAGGAAAAAAGAAAGAAAAGCAAAAAATGAAAGAAAATGGAAAAAGAAAGACAGAAAAGGGAAAAAGAAAAGAAAAAGGAAAAAAAGAAAAGAAAAAAGAAAAAGGAAAACAACGAAAGAAAAGGAAAAAGGAAAAGAAAGTAAAGGGAAATCATGGTAGAGTGCAATTTTATTATTCATGGATACGTGTGTAACAAAGTTTCTTACAAGATCTACTCTGAATATTCTAAGTTTAAGTGAAGAAGATTCTGACAAATAAAAAAAAAAGCTTTGCAATCGTTTTTGCCGCTTCAATTCTCTAACCCAGTGTTTCTCAACCTTTTTTTTTTCTTAACTTCACGGAACACTTGTAGAATAACTAAACCTCTAGGGTGCACTTTAAATTTTAACTTTTTATCACTCTGTATTTGACTTTATTTGCTAGACAAAAAGTTTAGTCTGTTACTGAAGGTGACACTGATCCCTGAACAATAGTGTTTGAATTGCCATGAGTTGTGTTGTCATATCCTGCTATGGCAACAGAAAACAACTTTGAGTGAAGTTAGCAATAAGGATCCTGCAACTGAGAGGCTTTGAAAAAGAATGCAGTGGAAAGAAAAGTAATATTAATAATGTAGAGCGCTAAAGGTTAAAACTATATTTTTAGCATGTGTGAAGTTTACCACATTGGGCTAATTCTGAAAGTCCAGAACTACAATTTATTTTTTACTGTCAACCTTGGGGCTGCATGGCTACTTTTGAAAAAAGTTGGGCTGCCCTGGTCTACTAATGAGAAGAAAGTTAGTTGAAAATCTGTAAGTGATAGGCTTTCAAAAGTAGCTCAATCTAGCAATTTCATTTATGTTCCCATCTGTGTTTCACTAAATAAAACCACTATGCTCTCTGTCCTTTCTCACCAGTTTATTAAACAAAAGACAGCTATTGACCTTTATCACTCTGTATGTGACTTCATTTGATGTACAAAAACTTAATATTGCCACTGAAGGTGACTCTGATCCCGGAACACTGGTGTGTTTAAATTTCATAGTTGTGTCGTCATATCCTGCTATGGCAACAGAAAACAACTTTCGTTGAAATTAACAATAAGGATACTGCAATTGGGAGGCCTTGAAAAAGAATGCAGTGGAAAGGGAATTGAATATTAATAATGCAGAGTGTTAAATGTTAAGCTACTCCATAACTGACATCATTTTGGCTAAAGAAACTAAAAAAAAAAAAAAAATTAAATTAAAGACCAGTTACTAAATACATTATTTATTTTATACTGATTGAAGAATTCTACCAATTCTACTTGTTTAGTTCCATTGAAATGTTTTAGTTTTTCTATTCATTAGACCCAAGTACAAAAAATGTTAAAGTAGATAAGTTTGTCTATCACTCAGTTCACACTACTTTCACATCTATGGAACAGGAGTAGAGGCTTATCCCTTGTTTCCTGTTTAGGATTGCGTTCCCAATTCCTTCTAAAATTTTCTCATCCTCTTTCACTTAATGTACAAAAACTTTATATTGCCACTGAAGATGACTGATCACGGAACAATAGTTGTGTTGTCATATCCTGCTATGGCAACAGAAAACAACTGAGGGAAATTATCAATAAGGTTACTGCAATTGAGAGGCCTTGAAAGAGAATGCAGTGGGAAGTGATATTAATACTGCAGAGGATTAAAGGTTTAAATCGGGAAAAATTAAGGAATTTTGGTTTATTATTCCCGTAGAAGATTAACAGTACAGTTTTCATTTAAATGGATTTATGAAGAATCTAATTTAAATTTTTTTTTTTAGAGAGGCCAATAATGAAGGATTTAAATCCCTTTGGGACATACAAAAAGGAAAGGATTACCCACTCCTTGTTAAAGATTAAGGAATTTAGCATCCAGTTTAAAATATCAAATAAAGACTCGACTTCGATGTAAAAGTCATGCGCTTGCTGTCTCTAGCTTTTTTAAAAACAAAGATTTTTAAATATATATATATATATATATATATATATATATATATATATATATATATATATATATATAAAGGCAGGATGTGTGTGTGTGTGTGTGTAACGAATGCATGGCCGCAATTTTCGACGGATTTGCACCAAAATTTACATGCACACGCTCCAAGTTAGCGGGAAGGCCAAGACCGATTTTGCATTTCCCAACTCTCATCGATAGTGGAAATAATCGATTTTTTCATGCTTCTACGGCAGTTTTCATGTAGTTTGCGGCCATTTTCTACTGGCCAGAGTGAGAGCCAGTAGCTGGCTGCCACGAATAAGCAGGAAGATTCTATTGGCCAGCGTGAGAGCCAACAGCTGACTGACACAAATGTTAACTAGCATGCAAAAAAATCGATAGCTGCATTCGTCACAAGTGGGAAAAATTTAAATCTGCATGGCACTTTACTCCAATTGGCTCATTCGCTTGCTTAAACTCAACGTTGATTCTGATTCCGCAGAACTGGGTTCGGTGTGAAAAAGTATTTGTTGTTAACATTCTTTTTTCATTCGGTTTTTCCAGTTATGAGTCCTTTTTTAAAGCTGATCGTTTTGTGTTCATTTTGTTTAGTTCTTTTTTCGTAACAGATTTAATGTTTAATATAGAGCTTAGAAAAAATTCGCAGTGTGAGATAGGCAAGAAGTAAGGCATGTAGCAACATCAGCACGGCAAAGGGCACTCCTTTAAAGGCAAGGAAGGGCAAAAATATTTTAAGTCAAGTGATAGCGATTGCTGTAGGAGTCGTACGATTTTTGAATCAAGCACGGGCAACACCGAGTCATGCTGCTAGTAATTCATAAAGTACTTTTCTGTTAACTTGGAGCGCATCTGGCTAACTTTCAGGGCGCATTAGTGATCCCGGGTTCACCGGTTGACAAACGCTGATCTAAGCTATCGACAAAGGGCAACGAATCGTTAAGAGAAGATTCGATATGTAAGAGATGGTGTTCTTCTTTAAAGAATCAATGCTAGCAGGAGGAAGAGGAGAAGTCTTCAGGAAATCGATAATCTTAATCCTGATCCTTACCAAACAAGAAATAAGTTAGCAACAATCAACCTGAAAGGGGCGGGGTGACAATTGCTGCACTCGGTGTCAGAGGGACTATCAATAATGCAAAAAAGAAAAAAAAGGATTGCAAATAAAAGGAAAAACATACGAGTCGACGAGTTTCTTAAGTAGACATTCATGAACGACGTGGATGATTCTTCTTCTTCGATGTGCCGTGTCCCTCTAGGACGTTGACGTTTATAGCTCTCCACCATTTCCTGTCCTTATTAGCTCTTAATTAACTTTGTTTTTTTGTTTTGTTTACTCTCTTAAACCCTCTGCTGCCATCCATTAACGCAAGCTCACCGAATAGATTATGCGTTGTTTCCACCCTGTCCCTCTTACTTTCAATCTGTTCGTCCTGGGTATGATGGTAAACTATATCCGGCAGCAAGTACGCTGATCGGGAGGTTATGAGAAACGTGGAACCATCTTTTAATTGTTGTTCTCAAGTCCACCTTGACCCAGGGTGGTAGCACCTGCTAGGGTCCCAGCAATAGGAAAATAGTGAACACCCAAACTGCGATCAAAACATGAAAATATAAAAATCCACTAGAAAAAATACAATACATTTTTCATGGGTGAGGTGAGGGGTATTAACAAAGCTCACAGGAAAATTATATTTCGGCATTAAATGACCCATTACGAATTGATACGCCGTTAAACAAATCAAACCAAACAACTTCAATCTATCCTGTGAGTATCAAATTTTCAAAGCCCTCTTTCCTCATTATGTGACCTAGAATTCTATCTTTCTGATCTTAAGTATAAGTTTCCTTTTTGTTTCAATTTTCTCTAAAACGTCGTCGTTGTTCAGTCCATGTTATTCTCAGTATCCTTCTGAAGAGCCACAATTCTCTTGCTTCAAGTCTCTTCTTTATCTGTGAAGAGATTGTCTAGCATTCACTGCTATATATGAGGACTGATACTACGTAACAGTCCAGTACTCTTTTCTTTATTTCGAACATTTGTTTCTTAATACTTTGCTTAGCTTTTCAAAGGCATCTTTTGCTATCCCAATGCGCCTTTGGATTTCAGTACCGCACTTTCCGTCCTCTGTTAAAACACTTCCCAGATATTTAAATTGCTGTATCTGTTTGATTTTGTTATCCCCAATTTGCAATTTTCATGTTGGACTGTCCCTTTTGCTAACAACCATGCGTTCAATCTTCTTGCAATTGATGTTTAGTCCTTTCTTCTCGCTTACCTTCATTCACTACCTACTGTAGGAATTCTTGTAGTTTCCTTTCTGTGTCTGCTATCAAAACTGGGATCACTTAACAGAAAAATGGGCGATCTGTGAGTCGTGATAAAAAGCACCAGAAATAAAATTACTCAAAGTACAATATGTGATCAAAATCAAGGTCAAATTTTATTTGATTGTCTGACCTATATGATGTATCTTTTCGATATATGATTGACGAGGCAGATTTTCCCACAGTAGGTCGCCATTTCTTTCTGCAGTAGACAGGTTATCAACTAAGGCTAAAGAACCCAGTCTGTTCTTCTATTCAACTCATGGTTGGGGGTGGGTGGGGGTGTGTTAGAAGAGGTGGATTTACACCTTTCTCAAGGGTATGTGTGGAAGTGAATCTAACGAATTCGACTGGAATTCGGATGTCACTCGGATTGTGATGCAATGGATATCAGCAGAGTTTTTTTTTTTTTTTTTTTTTTTTTTTACACGTTTTGACCTCAGTTTGGGGAGGGATCAACTATTTGCCCATAGCTGGGTCCCTAACAGGTGCTACCACTCAGGGTCAGGGTGGACTTGGGAAGACCAGCAATTAAGATGTGGTTCTACGCACCTCAAAACCTCCTGCTCGGAGACCTTGCTGCCGGATGTAGTTTATCGTTTTACCCAGGACACCTTACTATTAAGACAAAAGTAAATATTTTATTTCATCGGCATAGATACCGAGTCGTTCGAACTAAATTAAAATCTAATTCCTAAAACGACACGGTTACAGTAAACAAAAATCTTTCTTATACTTAATCCTGTTTTGTTTCGTTAATGTAGAGATTTTCCAAACTTGTTTACATTTGACATCAGATTATTATCCAAACTTTACTCGTATAACTGATTATAATCTCCTAAATTCACTTCAATAAAATTTAT